CTCCAACTAGACAATTTCTGGCGTATTTAGTTCAAACCCACAGTCAAAGCTTGGTTTGACCACCCCTTCACTCTTTTCCACAGAGTGATTTGGAAACTGCTCCAGCACCACGGAGTTTCTCGAAGCTTTATCAACCTCATTCAACAGCTTTATGACAATGGCATATGTCAAGTAATTCACAACAGAAAACTCAGTGAAGCTTTTGAAGTGAAGTGACAAGGTTTCCCTGATAGTGGTGGACTGAATCATTCGGTATATCGTGGGAAAATAGAAGACAGTCATACATGAAACCGACAAGGAAGCTGTAGAAGATTTCGATTCCGTAGACGATTTCTGTCTAGTGTCGCATAAAGTCGAAAACCAACAGGTGGAACTCAACAAGTTAACAGAATTGGCTGGAAGCGGGTATAGGATTCCATTAAGGTGAACATAAAGAAGCCAGTGGTGATAAGCGTACACACCGACTAACGACAACAAGCATCAATCACTATCGAGAGGAAGTGGTTTGAATGAGACCACTACTTTCGCTTGTATGGGCTACTTGGTTTCAGCTAAAGGCGACACGATTGAAGATGTCAAAAGCAGAATCGGAAAGTCAAGACAGATATGTATTACTCTGAAGAGTCTCAGACCAGGACGAAACAGCTATGCAGTACTCCCTGCAGGTTTTCCAATGGTTCTCTAACCGATGTCAGCTCATGATGAAATCCTGTAGCCAATCAATCGGATCCCTACAAACCAGTACTTGAATACCCTGAAATCATTTCGGAAGTCTGCTCCATCAAACATTTAGAACAAGATTAGGATTCTCAGCCATAATGTAAAATCAATGTTACTAGTTGGATCAGAGACTTGATGCATCACCGAAAGCACATCGAACAAACTACAGGCTTTTGTCAACAACTTTCTTCACTAGCTCTACTCTGAAGACCAGATGCTCGGTCAGAAAGGATTGGCAACAGACCAACTAAGATCTTATTGTCCAACAAATCTAACGAAGAAAGTGGAGATGGATCGGCAACATACTGAGGAGACCGCTGAGTGAGAGCAGGCAGTCTTTGAAGTATAAACTGATGAGTTGGGCATTGCTGTTTGGCTGACATGAAGGAAATGAAACCGCATGTGCAGAAATGCAGTCAGCTAAAACATACTGCAAGAAACAGGATAAAAAGAGGTGCGCAACTGAAGGCCTATGTTCCACTTGCAACCTAATCCTGAATAGAGGACTGATTCCTATCAATAAGCATTAGTTGTACCCAGATGAAATACAGCGAATCTGTGCTATTCTGATCAAGTGTTTGTGTCTTTTCCCTGCTAAGATCTTTCTATATCTGGTTTCTGCTTCTAGTTGTATAACTAGCATACATCAAGTGACAACATAGTTTCCCCAGTAACATTTATATCAATAACGCAACCAGCAAACTCATAAGTACCATACATAGAATAGGCAAAGACTTATCTTCCTAGTAGTCCCCATAGTTCTGCTATCCATTTTACGAGATAATGATGATACGGTGAAGTTGGCACGTCTAAAATGGGACGCATTGGTAATCCAGAACAATTTGAGTCCTATTCAAATGGATATGTTACCATATGGCTCAAAATTCTGTAACCCTCAATCGAATAAAAAGACACTGTGTGATTAGGTACAATTTGAAAATCTGATCAACCAGACAACGAACCTGACAGCCAATTCACTAGATGACCTGAATCACTTCAAGTCGTCAGTGCGTTGGTAGCACAGCGGTAAGGATTCTCGCCGAGCATGCAAATGGTCCGGGGTTCGATCCCCTGCCAACGCACATCTGGTATCAATTTGGGCTACCGATGTCGCATGCTGAAAATTTCATACTTGTACCAAAAATACTGTGTGGTTTCAAGCTATAACCCAAATTAAAAAACTAAAAATTGATTAAACTGTGCTCATCAGCTCTTGAAGTCAAAACCGAAACTGTTCCAGCATCTCATGAAGGAGCATTTCATTCAATTAAAGGATTTGAAGAAGAACGAGAATATCCTACTAAAACGGCCAGATAAAGGTGCAGGAAATTGCACTAATGATTGGGGAAGGTTGCATTGACAAAGTGCAAAACATCCTGTCAGGTAAGACAAAATTTTAGAAACCCGAACTTGAGAAGAACAAGGCAGAAATGATAGAGGAACCAACTGCACAGGTTCTGAAACGAATGTAGAATGATTGACAACCAAGCTATATGAAAGATCAAGATGTTCTCGACTCTACGGCCTGCTGAATATCCATAAATCTAGATTACGAATGCGTCCCATTTTAGACATGCCAGCTTCACTGTACCATTATGTTGCAGAATGGATAACAGAACTCTTGAAACCACTAAGAAGGCAAGTCTGTACCTATTCTTTGTATGATACTTTTGAATTTGTTAATTGTGTTAATAAAATGAATGTTCCTGCGAAAACTAGGTGATCACTTGGTGTATGCTTGCCGTTTTGAAATAATTGAGCAGATTTATATCTCAAGTGGATGACACTGATATTAGAATGACTATAGTGGTGTTAAGACTGTTTGAAATAGATATAGCACAACAAGCCAGCCAGCAGAATCACTTCATTCGATACTGTGCAAACCAAAAGATCCAACTGAAAAAGAAGTTAAAATTAATACCATTCACAAAATAGACAGCATATGTGAACTGCAATAAACATTACATCGGTCATAGTGGGCGTCCCCTTCGAATCCGAATCCAAGAACACAAATTGGCTGTATAAGCACATGAAATATATATATTCTTTCGTATCAATGTATGTGGATAATTATGGAGACCAATTCGATTGGGATAATGTAGAAATTTTAAATGGAGGAAACAGCAAAAGTAATGCTACGGAATTCCTAGAAGCCTGGTACCCAAGTGAATCAACTAGCAGCTATCAAACACACATCATTATGAACCAAATTTACCAGCTTATAAAATGTAGATCTTATGAAAAGAAAGTTCGACTTCCAAGTCAATAAAAATTTGATCCATAGAGAGGTAAATAAACAACCAGTCAAGACAGCGGTTGCCAGGAGATACGATTACATCATACATGGAGAATTTAAATGAGTTCAATTTATACTAAAACCTGCGCTGAAGATGTTGTCTAGAAGGTGGACGATGAAAGCTTCTCAATTAAATTAATAACCAGCTTAGAGAACACAACTCGCCGTTGACTATTGTTCCATTAAATGAAACATTATACTTCCTTTATCAATACATTTTTATTATTATTACAGTCCATCTTTTTTTCTCCCACATATTTGTTGAGTGTTCAGCTCTCACCTATTGTTCTGCTCCCGCAGTTTCTTGTTACTTATTCTTTCTGACTGGCCATTTGATCTTCAGTATGGAGTCAGCCACCAAAGTGGGCAGCTGTTGATGAAAGTCTGCAACAGACTGTTGGAAATCCTTTTTGTGACACGCATCGCAGTGCACGTTCCTGACCCTTATCGAAGGACTGATTTGACATTGGTGTTGAAAATGTGAATCTTGTTCCTTACGCTAGCAGAGTGCAGAAGATTCCCGAATTTGTTTCAGGATGATGAAGGCGTACCTTGCCTTTCCGATTCTGACTTTGACGTAGCCTTAATTAATTAATTATTATTATTATTATTGTTCCCTTGGGTTCCTAGTGGAACATAGGGCTTCAACTGCACGCCTCCACTTGCTTCTGTCTTCTGCTGTACTTATCATCTGCATCCATGTTAGTCCATGCTGTTTCAACTCCTCTTCACACGATCTCCTCCATGTCACCCTTGCACTGACGTCCCACTCGCCGCTTCCCTTGAGGGTTCCACTCGAACACTGGCCTGACGCGCGATGTCACCCAGTGGCCTCCTCAGTGAGTGTCCAATCCATCTCCACTTTCTCCTGCATATTTGTTGGGCGATTGGTTCTTGTTTTGTTTGTTCCCATAGTTTCTTGTTGGTGATTCTTTCCGGCCATCTAATCTTCAGTATAGAACGAAGACAGTTGTTGATAAAGGTCTGCAACAGGCTGTTGGAAATATTCTTTGTAACACGCCAAGTTTCTGATCCGTATAGAAGAACTCACTGGCTTGACGTTTGTATTGAAAATCCGAATTTTGTTGTTGATGCTGAGTTGAGTGACGAAGATTTCCAGATTGGTTTCAGGTTGATGAATGTGTTTCTCGCCTGCCTTCCCGATTCTCGATTTGACATCCTCGTCCGTTCCTCCAGTAGTTGAGACAATTCTCCCTAGATTTGTGAATGAAGTAACCTCTTTCAAATCCCTCCCGTTGATGGTGATTGGCGCTGGATGTTGCTGCTGTTGTTGTTGTTGGTTGGTTATTTTCATAACCTCCGTCTTATCTATGTTCACCTGGAGTCCCGTCTCCTCTGGCTGCTTCTTCGACCAGTTTGTCGGTTTTCGCTTGCAAGTCTTCGATTTTGTGTGACATCAAACATAAATCATCTGCGAAATCCAGGTCTTCTAGGTTCCTCACGTCGGTCCAGGATATCCCTGTCTTCTCGTTTCCCACTGTCTTACTCATAATCCAGTCCACCACAATTAGGAGTACCATTGGTGATAATAAGCACCTTTGTCTGACTCCTGTGTTTACTCCAAACGCCTTGCTAAGTTTTTCGTTGTGGATCACTTGACATCGGAAAACTCAGCGAGGCTTTTGGAGTAAACACAGGAGGCAGACAAGGGTGCTTATTATCAATTATCCTATCTTGTCTTAATTAATTAGTTCTGTTTAACTTCACCTCGTTTTATACACCTCCAAAATTACTTAGAGCTCATAATTATATGCAACATTTCATAAATTCCTTATGGTTATTAATAGTAATACACTGTTTTTTGAAAATAATCCAATTAATCGATACTCATTTAATAATTGACCCTATCAAACAGTTGGATTCAGCTATCCAGAATAATATACATCTAACTAATAAATACGCTTTTACACTTCTTCGAGAGGAAGAATACCTACAGTATCTTCTTTATCTTCAATTTAGAAGGATGTCATCTCCTAATGACGATTTAATCATCATCATGGATCCTGTTTATCAAGATTTAAAAAGCTTCCAAAAAGACTATGATTATGATCTGGTGGGTAATGCTATCACCTTGCGCGGTTCATTTCTCCGCAATCCAATCGGCTATTTGCACAGCTTTATTGAACGACATATCATAGAATTGATCTTTATCAGTTTAATATGTTTTGCTATATTTTTCTCCGTCATCCTTTTGCTACATGTCTTGAAAAAATGCGTTAAATACATTAAATTGGCCAAACTACTTATAAAAGAATTAAGTAGTGCAAAGAAGTTACTGAAAAAACTCAAGCAGGATAATATGCCAATAAATTTTGATATCTATGCAAAGGCTATATTCACTGCATTGATAAGTTATTATGAATTATTCGAGGGGAGAGCGACGAATATCACTATACCTGAAGATTTAATTGAATATGAAATAATCCGTTTTGTGATAGAAGCTGCATGGAAGAATAGTATAAGCAGTAGACAATTGCGTAATGTAGATTTAAATTCAACATCCGTTGACGATTTACCTATCGAAGGATTGAAAGCTGATGAAGCGGAAAATGTATTTGCTGCTCTTTTCGATGACAATGAAGACGTGGAGGAGTATGTCGAGAAAGTGGAGAATAAGGAATATGATTATGCGGGAAAAGGTAGCCAAGATTCATCTGATGAATCTGTAGAAAATGAAGAACTAATTGCTGGTGATAATGAATTCGTGGCTGATGAAACTGTCAACACATCTGCTTACATGAATAAAAATAATGCCGAAAGAAATGTGTCATGCTGTGAAGATAAGGCAAGTTTGAAACATACTCAAGATTTACTGACAACTACTGTCGCCTCATCAACATCTACTATTAGTCAAATCAAAGACCAGTATTATTGGAACACAGATTCCAATTGGTTTTCGTTATATTGTCCGGTATCATCTGATTGCAGTGATAACGATGAGCCGGTAAAGTAGACAAAACTATGGTGATGATGTTATTTATGCACGTGAATGACTTCGTAGTGTTTTGTTTTCATATTTTTATCTATAACAATTTGTACAAATTAACTCTTGGTTTTCATCTATTGGGTATGTACATGTAAAGTTGTTAAGTGTTTCTATTCCTAAAAACCTACAAGTTAATTTATATCATTTAATAAAAATGATGTTCCAGTTAGTATAAGAAAAAAAAAGGAGTCTAGGGTTTCGACTGGAACATATGCCTTAAGGTGTACATCTCCATTTCATTCTGTTTTCTGGAGTACTTTTCAGCCGGCTGTACTGCCATCTCTTAATTACACGATCTCCTCCATGTTACTCTAGTACCCACAAACAAATTGGGTTCCTCTTGAGAGTTTGTCTCGTGATGTCACTAAAAACAGCCTCCTCAGTATGTGCTCAATCCACCTTCATTTCTTTCAGCATGTTCTTCGTTGCTTAGTCCCCAGACTTGCTTCTTCCCTATCTCTTCTAGCCATCTAATCTTCACTACATCGTCTCAAAACCTATTCGAAGTTCTTTTGGTGGTACACTCAGTTTTTAAACTAGGTGGAAACGCTGACAAACTTGACATTACTGTCGAAAATCCGGATCGTGTTCTTTATGCTTAGTGCAGTAGACTTCGAAATTTATTTCAGGGTAGTGATTTTGTATGCTTTGCTTTGATATCCTCATGCGTGCTGATTGCTTGCAGTTGAAAAGATTGAGCCCAGATAAGTAGAAGAAGTAACCTCCGTGAAATTCTTGTTGTTGGTTGGTTGTCTGCAGTGCCTCTGTCTTCTCTATGTTTACCTCAAAAGAGTCCTGTCTTCACTGCGTGCCTTTTCTTCCAATCTGTTGGTTTTTCCCTGTAGACCTCCGAGTTTGCGTGACATCAGACCTAAATAATCTGCAAAATCCAGATCTTCTACATTCTCCTTATCAATCCGATGTATTCATGTCTTCTCGGTCCTCACAGTCTACCGCGTGATTCAGTACACCACAATCAAGAATATCATTGGCGGTAGTAGGCAGGCTCGTCACTTCTCTTCAGAGTCTTCGTCGAGGTTTCCGTTGTTGATCATTTAATACGTCGCATTGTCATATGACTATTGAATGAGAATGATTCAATTTTGTGGTATTGTACTCATTAGTGTTGAGGCAGTTTCCAAATTACTTGGTGGCCAACGCTGTTGAAAGCTTTCTCAAAGTCGATTAAGTTGACTTAGGGATTTGACTGCCATTCTGTGCTGTGTTCGATTATGATGCGTGGCGTTGCAACTGGATCACCACATTATTTGCTTTTTTTCTAAATCCAGCTTGTTCCGGGCGAAAAGTAGTGGTAAGCTACATTTATTTCCTGCAAGACACAACTAGCGGTTGTATGGAATCAGTAAATAAGTTGCATTTAAATTTTTTCGATATATATATATATATATTCATATATATATCGATCAATTCAGTGGTTTCTTACCTGTTCTTATCTGCTAATCAGATTATAACGAAGTCTTTACATCTGAAACCGGCAATCTATACTTTTTGACTTGACACTAGGTAGCAACTACGTCTAGTCTAGGTGCAAACTGAATTCTATCAGTCACGTTTGCAATGTGGCCACCATACTAGTACACTCACCATCATAATGCATTGTTACTAAGTAGTTGGAGTCTTGGACCTAGACCTCAGGCTTAATGGCACTCACCAGAAAGGTGCATCTATGACCTTGAAGGAACTAACGACTCTTCTAAGATTCGAACACTGGCTACCCTTTGCTGCAGTAACAGATGTCACTTCTGAGCTATTCAGCCTGCGCCAAACAAAGGACTAGACATATTACACTAGTTACTAACTAGTGTCCAATCAAAGTAAAATAGAAATGTCCTGGTGAAGTCCTATGTTCCACTTGGTGGAACCCAAGGGGATAATAATCAATAATAATACTTTCCGACCGATCATTCGACCTTTAGTATGGAGCCAGAGAAGGCAGCTATTGATGAAAGTTTGAAGAATTTCCAGAAATCTTTTGGCTATACGACAAGTCTCTCAATAATACAGAGGAACTGATCTGACATTGGTGATTATATTATCATTATTTTCTTTGGTTCCGAGTGGAACATAGGGCTTCAACAACACATCTTTACTCTGTTCTATTTCCTGCCATCTTCTCCAGCTGGGTCCATGACTGACCAAACTCTCTCATCTATTCATCACACTATCTCCTCCATGTTACCGTCACACCGACGACCCACTTGTCGCTTTTCATTTGGATTCCACTCGAGCGATGACTTGTAATGCAAGCGATATCAATTGACGGCCTCCTCAATGTATGTCCGATGCATCTCCATTTTCTCGTACATATTTTTTGAGTGGTTGGCTTTTGGTTGGTTTGTCCCCACAATTTTTTGTTACTTATTCTTTCTGACTAGCCATTTGATCTTCAGTATGGAGTCAGGCAGCAAAATGGGCAGCTGTTGATAAAAGTCTGCAACAGACTGTTGGAAATCCTTTTCGTAATGCGCAGTGCAGTGCAAGTTCCTGACCCGCATAGAAGGACCGACTTGACATTGTTGTTGAAAATCCGAATCTTCTTGCTTATGTTGAGTGCAGGTGATTTCCAAATTGTTTTTAGGTTGATGAAGGTGTTTCTTGCCTTTCTAATTCTGGCTGGCTGGTTTTGACATCTTCATCCGTTCCAACCTCCTGTAGTTGAAACGATGCTTCCTGGATGGATAAGTTAAGAATGTACACTCTGTGATAGTACGTCAATTTCATCCTTCAACTTTCCAATATACTTATATGACGTTGACCGGAGAACAGTTAGTAAGCAAAATCAAAACAACAATTAAATCGCTCAAAACACGAAATATATTCCCGGGATCATCAGTGCAGAAGAGAGATGTATACTTAACTACCTAGTGATCGCACACGAACAAAAGAACACAATATGGTAGTGTGCCAAATCGAGAGGATATTTATTGGTGAACTTTCAGCTTAACAAGTTATCTTAAGCAGCATCCAACGTCGAGTGATGAAAGCCCCGTAGGTTAATAACTTTTCAGAATTATTTCCAGGTTCGCTGTGAACTAACACACTGCATCATTTAATTATCTATTTTAATGCAATCATTCTGCGATCGAGTGATCTGTTAATCCCTCACTACTTAAAAGTTAAGTATGCCGTTTCAATAAGTGGGTGTATTAAGGAGTCATACTTTGTCCAGTAGACGGTATCAGTAATTAATGACGATGTTTATGTATAAAAAGTGAAATAATTTACTGAAAGTAGTAAAACTGTTTCGTATTTTTAATGATAAGGTGTGAACACACATCAGGGCTACTGTAAACAATTTTGAGTCATTTCGTCAAAAGTTTCTAACCATTGATTCAGCGTTCTTTGAAATGTGCTCTAGCCACCTCAATCGATGAAGAACACTCACAAATTCTTCACTAGCCGACTTACTTCACCTACCCAAGAATAACAATAATAATAAGAAGAAGAATATATTGTTTTCTAGGTTGTTTATTTCTATGTGAACTGGTGCCTGCAATTCTAATTTCCGAGCTTCCAACCACAACCTGAATGTAATACTGATATCTACCTGTGATAACTCTGGCCGAAGAGGGGAGATGTGCATTCTGAACCATCACCTTGCTACATCAGGGGAATGTCAGATGAATTACAATAAGGCTGAGAAAGTATTATCTTTAGTTACTCAACGTATTGAGCCAATCCATCCATTAAGCTCAAAACTGTTGGTTCTGTGCTACACAGTTGCAGGTTAACTAACTGGAGTCCTCACAACACTGAAAATCAGTAAAGAATAGGCTTTGAATAAATGGTTTAATTTCGTCCACAATGCCTCACGTAGATGTATTTTTCTCTATCTTTTCCAAATGAACATGGTGATAAAAACTCACTCAATTATTCTCTTTCAGATAACTTTATCTGTCGTAGTTTCATTCTGTGTTTTTTTCAGGTAGTGTTTCATAGTGTAGTCATTTGAATGGATTGCTTTTATTAGAAGTTGACTGGTGGATGGTGAATAGCAGTGGAATCCAGGACAACGCGCATTTCGTCTTGTCCAGGACCTGTCATCTGGATGTAACTGCATTCCGCAGTGAGATGATGATGTTCCCACCGAGGCTTGAGCCCAGTGTCCATAGTTTGATACGCCAAAGCCTTATCCACTAGACCACTTGGGCAACGAAAGCCACCTCTTGCGCAACGGATCTTATTAATTATTTAATCGAATTTTTGATTTTCCCGCCGATTGATTGAACCGAAGTGCTCAGTCTCAGGTTGACATATCGGCTTCTTGTGCAGATGCTTCGACGATTTCTCGGAACAACTTCTAATTACATGCCCAGACATTGTCGAAGCATCTGCACAAGAAGCCGACACGTCAACCTGAGACTGAGCACTTCTGTCCAATCAATCGACGGGAAAATCTAGAATTGAATTAAATGGTTGCTTTTATGTGCAAAGTTATTTTACTAGAGAGTATTATCACCGAAAAAAAATGTATCTCTTATTCTGTTTAGCAATCTTATGTCATTCTAAAGTTGACTAAAGATAAAGTTTCTACTGTTACAGAAAGACACGAACAAGAGTCTAAACAGAAGCGTCTGCACTGTTCAAAGTCACTGAAAGTTCCTGCCTAATTCCCAGCGAATCCAGAATAACTTGTATTCAATTTTTCAAGTATAACATCCAAATTAAATAAACTTAAAGAATTTAACACTTGGCACCAGATTCTGACATAAGACTTTCAAAGATTCTTTTCTAACATGGAAAAAAGAAAAGACTTTTAGACATTCTTTGAGTTAGTTAATCTAGAAACCTCATATGATTCAAAACTCGAAATCACAAATAAAGATCAACAAATAACTTTTTTGCCAGCTTATACTTTAGGCACTGAAGATGCGCGAACGCACCAGTGATCTTAAAACGCCCATTCAGAGAGGTTAGCAAAATCAAGTAAACGAGACTGTATTCAT